GTAGTAGTAGTAGTAGTAGTAGTAGTAGTAGTAGTAGTAGTAGTAGTAGTAGTAGTAGTAGTAATAGTAGTAGTAGTAGTAGCAACAGCACAAGACAAACAAAACACATTGTCATCAGTCAAACCTGTGTAAGACGGCCAGCCATTGTCAAGGAGAAAAGTGGCCGTATAAGACAGGTGACCGTCTTAGGCAGGACTGATCAAGATGAAGAACACAAACCATTCCCATCTGAGACCCCAATCGAAAGTAGCCCCATTGTTGTTGTCTTTGTTGTTGTTGGTTTTGGTGGTGGTGGTGGTGGTTTCTATTTCGTTTGTAAATTTTATGTTGTTGCTTATTTTGCACAAGGGTGACAATAACACGAAATGTGTCAGACAAGGAAGACCGAGTGCATTGTTAAAACAAACATGTGGGTCGCCACCACTCGGAGAACGAGCGACGCTTCTGTCACAAGTTCATGTTGACGTCCTTTGTTACTTTGTTACAGACTGGGTAAACAGTGACCACTCATCTCACTTACGATTTGTGTATGAGTTCTGGGTGGGGCTTGTGGGTTATGAGGGATCACACACTTACCTCACCAGCAGCTGAAAATTGGTAGCTATTGGTCAACAGTGGGAGGGGCCTACGCATCATAATCGGTTGGAGGGACTACCTAACAACAACGACAGGTGATTGAATGATGACGGCTTGCCCACAACACCAGGGGCCAATGCACAATTTATGACAAAACGTAATGGAGTCACAAAGGTGGCCGTCTAAGACAGTGTTATTGCTTAGTGTGATAGGGGTTGTGTGTTAAATTATGGTGGCCGTGGCCGCGTTGGACAGGTGCCCGTTTTACACAGTTAAATTTTATTTTTAAAAACGCAAGGGGGGAAATGGAAAGTGGCCGTTTGTACAGGTGGTCGTCTTATAAAGGTGGTCGGCAAGGCAGGTTTGACTGTACATGTACCTGAGTCTCCGTGAGGCCCAGCCTGTGTGCCAGCCCCGTCCTGTCTTTGCCCACCAGGTACTGGTTCTGCTTGAACTCCTCCTCCAGCACGTCCAGCTGGTCGTTGGAGAACGTCGTCCGCGCGCGTTTGGGACGGTCCAGGTCCAGGGCTTTGGGGAACACCAGCTCCTTCACGGTCCCGTGGGAGTCTGAAAATGGTGAAATGGTATGGGTTTAACGCCCGTGTCAACACTATTAGGTTATTTAAGGGGCGGGACCTCCTAGTTTAACATCCGTCTCCGATAGAACCGAGCCAAGTGGGATGCTCGTGTAAAGTGTCTTTCCCAAGGACACAACGTCGGACCGAGCTGAGGCTCGAACCCCCGAACCGGCAATCTCACGATTACGAGTCCGGTAGCCTAGACGCCACCCGTTGGAGTCTGGGTAGGTTGTTAAGAAGGTACGGGAAGTCAGTTGACGGGAAAATAGAAGTGGTGGGGGGGGGGACGACAATAATCCTTTTTTTGTTGTTGTGTTTGGTTGGTTGCTTGTTTGGTTGCTTGCTTACTTGCTTGCGTGGTTAGTACTTTTGGTTGGTTGGTTGGTTGGTGGGTTGGTTGGTTGGTTGGTTGGCTCTGTGGGTGGGTGGTTGGTTGTTTAGTTGTTTGGTTGTTTGGTTGGTTGTTTGGTTGGTTGTTTGGTTGGTTGGTTGGTTGGTTGGTTGGTTGGGTGGTTGGGTGGGTGGTTGGTTTGTTGGATTGGTTTTTTTTTTGTTGTTGTTATTGTTGTGTGTTTT